GTTTGTGTCAAGTATGTTTACAAGCTTTGTAACTCCTCAGTTCTCATTGATAGATCATATATTTCCCTACAAAGCATTTTCATGAAAGCATTCTTGTTGGATCCATTGTCTAGAATTTTGAGCAGTGATAAAAGCATTTTGAAGTGATTTTTCACATAAAAGTAGTTCACATATTGAGCAGTGAGAGAGAGTTCACATTCCGTGGAGAAAAGTAGCCATATATTTTTATTTTTATTTTTAACCACGTGGAGAAAGGTTTAGGGCTATTCTTATTCTTCATGTTCTTCATTTCTGGTTTTTGAGCATAAACATATGCATATTGATTGTTCATATTTATATTCTTGTTGTTTGAAATTGTTGAATATAAATTTGAATTTGGTATTGTTGGTGGTTTCTAGCTCGAACGGTGATAAATCATGCGTGATTGGTTGATAAGAATTGGGTTTTAAGGAGTTTAGGTATTGCATGGTTGAGGGTTTGCGTGAGTGGTTGACACCTTATGTATGATTAGTTTTAGGCATGACGGCTCTTAGGGTGTGCGTGATTAGTTTAGGGGTTGTTGGCATTGTGTGACTTGTTGGTAACTCATTGCGTAATTGAATATAAGTTATTATGTAGCTGCTTGATAAGGCATTGCGTGATTGTTATCTGTATAGCATTACGTGACCGTTTTATGTAGGTCATTGCGTCATTGTTAGTTGTAGGGCATTGCATGATTGTTATCTGTATGGAAGTGCATGAGTGTTAGATAAATGGCATTGCGTGAATTTTATCTGTATGGCATTGTGTGACTGTCATTGCGTGGATTTTGTATTTTGTTAGCTCAAGTTTAATGCTTTAATATGTATATGTTGATTTACTTAATAATCCATACTTCACACATGCTTAAATTATTCTATTTTATGTATGCAAATATTGTAAGAACTAGTTATTGCTTTTTTAAATCTTCATTGATCATATTTATTAAAATAGAAATGTTATCTATTTTATGTTATAGATGGCCAGAACAGGAATAGAGCAGGAGAGTGTGGAAGCTTTGCTTTATATGCTGAGGGACCAATGGGGCTTCAATACTGGCATTAACAATGGACGCATAACAGAGTAAGGAACAAGATTATTATGGGTTTTGAACATGGCTCTGTGTTTATACTCCCATATTATTATTTTATGGGTTTTGAACGTGGTTTTGCGTTTCCCTTTTCTTGGTTGCTACTTAGTTTTGAATTAATGACAAATGGCAGCTAGAACGATAAATAGAACTTAGCGAAAAGAGAAAAGAAAATTTTACGATTGTAAGTGTTTTATGACGTAAGTCAATTAGTAAAAACAAAGACAAGCATATAAAGAAAATGACGAGATGGTGATTGGAAATTAGAGTTTTTTTGAATTATTAAATATGTGGTTAAATGTTTTGAAAAATATTATTATTGTTTTTGTTTATTTTTATCTATATTTTTAATTTTGATTTTAAATTAGTAAAACCCAAATGTTCTTTATAATCAATTCTTATTTAAAATCCTTAACAGTCAAATAATAGCGATGGAAAATATTTTCTACAAAATGAGGATAGAAAATATTTCAACAGTTTGTTCAAATATTAAAAAATATTAAATTTTTTTGTAAAATATTTTATATTGAAAAAATTTTCTCCAACAAGTTAGTTTTCAGTTAGCAAATGGACCCTAATTTGTAATTTGATTTCTATATAATTATTGAAAAAGTTATATATCCAAAAGCAGATTTCAATAATTATTGGATTTAATTTAAGAATGAACGCTTAAGATTTTAAATTAAATCTTGGAATAAAATGAGAAAACATGCATGATTTATGATATAA